TGGTCCCAGTTGCTGACTGGGGTTAAACCACAACATAAGCATTCTTTAAAAAGCACTTTGCACAAAAACCATCATAGACAAGTTCTCTTGATCTGCACTTTACATCCAGTCTTCTACAGAGCAAAAGACCATAAACATTGGCAACAAAGCTTTTTACAAAAGCATTGTTCTCGGGATAAAAATTCCTAGGGTTTTGGGTTGTTTGTTTTTTTAATTTTAGCAATAAAAGAAGTAACTGCTCAGGCAAAAATACTGTCTATATTCAGAGCTTCAGAAGTGTCCTATGATTTCAACGTGTAAGGGAACAGCTATTATTTTAGTTAAACTACACAGGCCAACTCATCTTTAAAGCACCTCAGGAACAGAAAAATTTTGGATGTGATCTTTTTTTAAACTGGCAGCCAAGCATGACTGCTGTACAAACTTTATCAGAATTAAAATTGGTGAATGTAATGCAACGTCCCGAGTCTTGGATGAACCCAACCACAGAGCCATGTTCAATTCTGTTAAAAACAAATATCTGATCACTTAGGTTTATACCACTGAATATAATTACTAATAAAAATAGCATACATTTTAAAATACAGTAAGTGAAGGCCTCAAGGCTGGAAAAGCCTCTACAACTCTAGAATGAAACAGCAAGTCAGCCGCCATCAAACAATTCCAAGTGTTCAAACCTGTACAAGCCTTTGTTTCCACTTTGAAGAACTTACTGATATTTTTTTTTTTTGAACCAGGACCTGCAGCTCCACCATGCATCCCTCATGGATCAAGCAGTGAGAAGCAGGAATACTGAAAAGCGGAAAGGAAAAGAGGAAGAATAAAAACAAGACAAGCTGCCTAGAGAACAGCAATGGCAAAAACAATTAACTTGGGACAAAACAGAATCATAGAATAGTTAGAGTTGGAACGGACCTTAAAGATCATCTAATTCCAACCTTCCATTTGAGGTTGCTCAGAGCCCCATCCAACCCGGCCTTGAACACCTCTAGGGATGGGGCATCTACAAGTTCCCTAGGCAATCTGTTTCAGTGTCTCACCACCCTCACAGTAAAGAATTTCTTCCTAATATTTAACCTAAATCTACCCTCTCTCAGTTTAAAACCGTTACCCCTTGTCCTATCCCTACACTCCCTGATAAAAATTCTCTCTCCACCTTTTCTGTAGGCCCCCTTTAAGTACTGGAAGGCCGCTATAAGGTCTCCCCAGAGCCCCATCCAGGTTGAACAACCCCAACTCTCTCAGCCTGTCTTCACAGGACAGGTGCTCCAGCACCTTCGTGGCCCTCCTCTGGACTCGCTCCAACAGGTCCATGTCCTTCTTATGTTGGGGATTTCAGAACTGGCTGCAGTATTCCAGGTGGGGTCTCACAAGTGCAGAGTAGAGGGGCAGAATCACCTCCCTCGACCTGCTGGCCACACTCCTTTTGATGCAGCCCAGTGTACAGTTGGCTTTGGGGGCTTTGAGCGCAATCGCCGACTCCTGTTGACTTTTTCATCAACCGACACACCCAAGTCCATCTCCTCAGTCAGGGCTGCTCTCCAGCCATTCCCCACCCAGCCTCTATTTGTGCTTGGGATTGCCCCAAACCAGGTGTAGGACCTTGCACTTGGCCTTGCTGAACTTCATGAGGCTAGTTTTGTAATACTTAGCAAGTCTTCTCGAAGACTACGTGACTAAGAAAATAAAAGTTTACGACTGCTGACATAGCACTGAATTTCCTTGAGAAGAGCCGCACAGTGGGGCGGAGGCCCCTTCCCCCCCTCCCCTCCTCCTCCTCTTCCTCCTCCTTCACCCCTC